TATATATATATATATATATATATAATATTTTTGTGGGGGGAAGAAATTATAGAATTATAGAATACTTTTATTTAGCAAATATGCATTAAATTGATGATAAAGACATTTATAATGTTACAAAAATGTATAGTTCAGATAAATGCTGTTCTTCTGAACTTTCTATTCAAGAAATGTATATTCAAGAAACCTGAAAAAGTTCTACTCGGCTGTTTTTAACATAATAATAATAATAAATGTTTCTTTGAGCAGCAAAAATCTGAAGGATCAAGTGACTGGAGTAATGATGCTAAAACATTTTTGAAATCACAGGAATAAATTACATTTTAAAATATATTCAAACAGAAAGCAGTTATTTTAAATAGTAAAAAATATTTCACAATATTACTGCTTTTGCTGTATTTTGGATCAAATAAATGCAGGCTTGGTGAGCAGAAGAGAATTCTCTAAAAAAACCATTAAAAATCTTACTGTTCAAAAGGTTTTTTTTTTTTTTTTGAAAGAAGTTGTGTAAAAATCGACGCGTTTCAAAAAGGCGGGGCATAGAGGAGAAACAATAATGTACAGTATGTGGAAAATAATGTGTTTTTTTAACTTTAAACCGCATAAACACATTTCATTACACCAAATACACAAAATAATGTTCTTTTTAGCAGCATCATATGACCCCTTTAAACACTTTCTGCAATTGTAGGTTCTGATTCGAGTCCATGCATGTGGTGTAAACCCAGTGGAGACATACATCCGCTCTGGATCCTATGCTCGAAAACCCAGCTTGCCCTATACTCCAGGATCAGATATTTCTGGTGTGGTTGAAGCTGTTGGGGATGGTGTTTGCCTCCTACGGGTGCCGTGATTTTATTTGTCAACTTGTAACCCATCTTGCACACTGACTACAAGTTTACATGTTTGCTTTGCATGGATTGCAATCTTTTCTGTTTTCACAGACAGGTGACAGAGTCTTCACCACAGGCACAGTGACGGGAGGATACGCGAGTTTACTGTGGCCTCAGAGGACACTGTTCACAAGCTTCCTGATTCCCTAGACTACAAACAGGGTGCAGCTATTGGAGTCCCATATTTCACTGCATACCGGGCGTTAGTTCAAAAGTAAGATTTTGTAATCATTGTTGTAGGGTCTTGAATGAGGTCACGGGTATGGCACTGCTTGAGGTGTCTGAAGCTATAGAAATGCATTATAAAGAGTACTTTTTCTCTAAACAGGGCTCATGCCAAAGCAGGAGAGACAGTTCTTATCCATGGAGCCAGTGGTGGGGTAGGATGTGCAAAATTTACCTTACATTTCTAGCATTATTGTACTTCAAAAATGATTTGGATTAATCATACTTCTAGGGGACTTGCGCTGCGAACTCTAGTGGACACTTTGGGGAATGCTGCCAGCATGACCAGTGTCTGAAGCACATGTGAAAAACTCCAATCCTATTGGTCCACATAGCCTGTGATGTCATGAACACGCCACTAACTTTTGTTGTCTTTAGGAGCCGTTTGTTTGAAGCAGTGAGTGTGAAAGACCAGGGCAGGTGAGCGTTGTAGGAAGTGTGTGCCTCCGGTCCCGAGGTTTCTGACACTTGAGGACACACACATCTATGTATCTAATGAGAAAGCTCCATTCGTGTTTGTCCCTCTTCTCAAGATGAGGGACAAGCATCTGCGTTTCGTGGTTCGGGTCCCACTGCTGCCGAGGAACAGCGATTTGTATCTCGCGGCCTGTTTCTGCCATTGCTGTGGCACAATTTATCTCAGCTCACGGTGATTGCTTTGATCTGCGGGATCCGCACACCCTTTCTTGGGTTGTTATGATGATGAAGTGTGAGCACGGAGTCATTTCAGCCCTGATCTTGCGAGTTCGTGGGCGGAGCTATATTCAGCTCAGCTGTGCCTCTTTAATGTGCATATTATTGTGTATGGAGAATATCGCTGGACGTGGATATATTGAAATGCTCTGTTGAGAAATGCTTGCGAGCTTTCTCTCCCAGTGTGTTTCAGTGACCTAGAGTGATTATGGGGAATGTTCCTTCCTGTGTTATACCGGATGGGTTTAGGAGTGGGCTGCCTCCCCTGCCTCCTTGAGGTTTTTAAGTATAGTGGTCTCTTTGAGCCCCTTGCCTAGACTGTGCTGTCTACCCTGTTTGGGTTTCATTTACTGATGGTCGGTCCGGATCTCCCTCATGTGAGCTTCTTGTCTGTAGCATTTGGACCAATCAGACACACAATTTTTCATTAGATTTAACAAATCAATTATTCATTAGATTAACAAATAATCACGGACCCCTCACCCAATAAACATACTGGGTGCCAGCATGTCTCTGAACAACCCGAGGCCCCTGGTTACCATGGCAAACAGGACACCTCAGCCAGACCAGATAAACTTTACAACCTAATGGCATGTCGAGAGTTCTCCCTCTCACTATCTTTCAACCATAGGAAAAACATAATGCCCATAAACATGGACTCTTCTCTAATTAAAGGGTTAGTTCACCCAAAAATGAAAATTAGCCTGTGTTTTACTCACCCTCGAAGCATCCTAGGTGTATGTGACTTTCTTCTTTCAGACGAATCCAATCGGAGTTATATTAAAAATTGTCCTGGACCCTCCAAGCCTTACAATGGGGGTAAGCGGGTGTTCGGTTGTCAACAGTTCAGAAGACGTGAAATACAATGCGCGCATCCATAATAAAACGTCCCTCACACGGCTCCGGGGGGTAAATAAAGGCCTCCTGAAGCGAATCCATGCATTTTTGTAAGATAAATATCCATATTTCAAACGAAATTTTTAAAATTCATATTTAAAAAAAAAAATTCTAGCCTAGCTAACTAGTAATTCGCCATTGTCTGTGAAGTGAATTTGCTGTTTTGATTTGTGAATGAAGTTGCATGCGATACATCATAACCATAGACTGTATAAAAACATGGACGTAGTGTCCGTGACATCACCCGTAGGTTCCTGAAGAGCATTTTTGAAGCTCAAAGTGGGCAGAGCCGACCGTCGCCATCTTGGCAGCGCGTCACCGCGCGTCACTCTCGGATAATCGAAAATGGGCAAAAAGGCGGGAGCTGGTTGCTGAAACCAGGGTGTAGAAGCACCTAATCTTGATTGTAAGCCTAAAACTGACATTTCCTGAAAAGTTATCTCTTAATTCTGATTGGTTGATTGGAATGGTGTTCCAGGATCAACAAGGATGTTGATCCAGGAACATGTTGTACTTGGTCAAATCACGCTCACCCATAACTGACAGCGCTTAAAGTCGGCATGAAATCCAAATTGACAATTCTTATTTTTTGATGGAATACTGTAGTGTTTATTATAAATAATTTATCCATTACACTTCATTATTTTTTTTTTTATTCATGTGCCCTCGTAATCTTTAATCAAAAACGTTAACCTCCCCTCCCCCTCAAAACGACTCCTCTACTCTTCCAGTCACGAGCTATGGTGCAAGGGCGGAGCTATCTGGAACTGCCAACAGCTGCAGTGACCTCAGTGACGTTTGGGGGGCAAAGCTGAAGCTGATGCTTCACTTTATAGCACTGACACCAGTCATGAGGGAGTACGTTATCCTTACACATTGAAAAGATATTAGGATATTACGGCAATATTACTCTAAGGACATCGCAAACTAATTTTTTTTTCATGAATATGACTTAACTTGATGGAGGACGCGCTCTCTCCTTCTCTCTCTCTCTCTCTTTCTCTTGCATGTTTTGTGCCAATCAATCAATTCCCGAAGGATGAAATCAAGTCCCGCCCTCTCATTTCAGATGCCGTTTCACTCGGATATACGTCACAGTAGAGAAGAAGTAGAAAGAAGTAGTTTCATGCCAACTTTAAGTTTCCCATGCATATTTACAGCAGCGCAAGTTCTGCTCCACTTGCAGATGTTGTAAGCTTGCATCAGTCTCTTAGCAACATCTGACCCCAGGAGGTGCGAGCAGGCTCTTCCGGCTCAATCTGATAACAGCACACACGTCACAGACCTTTGTGTAAACAAAGAACTGCGTGAAATGCTAAGTCTTTAGCAGCCATACAGGCACATGAGCTAAGCCCTTTACTACAACTGCTAGCTGTTAGCATCTGACTAACACTTAGATAGTGAGTGTAAAGTGTAACTTTCATACCACTCCTCTTTCTCTCTCCCCCTCACTCCTGGTTTCACTTACTGTTTGTGCTATCACCTTCTGTTGAGATTCAATCAGGTCTGTCCCTCCCCACATACTTTGGTTTTATTTGTATTTTTATTTTGACTTTATTCTATGGGATTGACTCCCTTTTGCAGCCAGCCTCTAGTGGCCAGTTGACGAATTACAGTTTAAGTCACTTCCGTGTTGGCTTCACGAGAGAGAGCGGGAGGTTGCAGCTTGGTCATAACTGACAGTTCTGCTCCACTTGCACGTGTTGTAAGCTTGCATCGGTCTCTTAGCAACATCTGACCCCGGGAGGTGCGAGCAGGCTCTTCCAGCTCAATCTGATAACAGCACACACGTCACAGACCTTTGTGTAAACAAAGAACTGTGTGTAGCCAATGCTAACATCTTTAGCAGCCATACAGGCACATGAGCTAAGCCCTTTACCTCAACTGCTAGCTGTTAGCATCTGACTAACACTTAGATAGTGAGTGTAAAGTGTAACTTTCATACCACTCCTCTTTCTCTCTCCCTCTCACTCCTGGTTTCACTTACTGTTTGTGCTATCACCTTCTGTTGAGATTCAATCAGGGGTGTATTCCAGAAGGGAGGTTCAACAAACTCTGAGTTGACTTACCCTGAGATTGGAAACTCTGAGTTTTCAGTTTCAGAACAGCTGAATAGGGTTAGTTCAATCCACTCTGAGTAGGTTGACTCTGAGTTTAGCGTGTGCACCATGACTATGAAAAGCCATGATCAATAGAGCTCCGAAATTACGATTCACCATGGCAACAGCTCCCGCCAAAAAGACTTCCGCATACTATGGAATACGTAACTTTAATTCCAAATCAATGTTATCAGAGGTAAAAACTGGCAGAAAGGACATTGAACTAATATTCATTTTCATGGTGTCCCACGGGCAAAAAAAGAAAAAAAATTAAACGTAACATAATTCAATCAGGTAAAGCTTCAAGCATGAAATGGGTGTAGGCTACATGACTTTACAAACATTTGACATTCAATAAATATCATTCAGTGTATATCTATTTCAATGTGCAGCAGCTTTTTCCACATAGTCTAATGCTTTTTCACATAATTAAATGATCTGTAATCCAACATGCTACATTTCTTAATTAGGGTAATGAAAAACATTTGACTTCTATTCAGCCAACAGCAAGAAGGCAGAGACTCTTAAAATGGGGGGAGAACCTGCACCAGCACCACTGACAGATGAAGAGGAGATGGCCACAAAACCAATTCTGTCAGGACCACTATCGTCAAAGATGATTGACAATTAGCATACAGTTTGGATTGGCGGTATGGTTCCGTTCTGGGCAAGAACTCCCTGCGCATCCATGCAGCCTAGCATGGATGAGAGCAGGGAGAGCAGCGATAAAACAGAGTTAGTTCAATCCACTCTGAGTAGGTTGACTCTGAGTTTAGCGTGTGCACCATGACTATGAAAAGCCATGATCAATAGAGCTCCGAAATTACGATTCACCATGGCAACAGCTCCCGCCAAAAAGACTTCCGCATACTATGGAATACGTAACTTTAATTCCAAATCAATGTTATCAGAGGTAAAAACTGGCAGAAAGGACATTGAACTAATATTCATTTTCATGGTGTCCCACGGGCAAAAAAAGAAAAAAAATTAAACGTAACATAATTCAATCAGGTAAAGCTTCAAGCATGAAATGGGTGTAGGCTACATGACTTTACAAACATTTGACATTCAATAAATATCATTCAGTGTATATCTATTTCAATGTGCAGCAGCTTTTTCCACATAGTCTAATGCTTTTTCACATAATTAAATGATCTGTAATCCAACATGCTACATTTCTTAATTAGGGTAATGAAAAACATTTGACTTCTATTCAG